CCGGCCCCCACCGCCTCAGGAAAGACCGTCACTGTCCCCGAGCTCCAGCTTCTGCCGCTGCGGCTCCTTCGCGCCCACGGGGCGGGCGGCCGGGCCAGCGGGCGCCCCTTCCTGGCTCCCCTCCAGTCACCCGCGTCCTTCTGGTGGCAGATCTGCTTCCAGACTGATTTTTGAGAACCATCACTTCACATTCCTAATTTTCGTTTGTTTTGTTTGATTTTTCTGTGTTTCACTTAGATTTTCTGAAACTTAAAATGCTGCCCTGAAAATAATGTATTTTTAAGTTTGTGTTCCGAAAACCTCCGTGCTGCTGGGTTTGGGGGGGGACACAGGATCCTCCAGCACCGAGGTGTTGAAGATTTGCAACTAGCAATGCAATTTTTTCTAAATATGAGGATATTTACCTTTACTAAAAAACTACACTAAACAACGGTGTCGACCATTTTATGTTCTCATCTTACCTTTGGTTCTATTTTGATTCGAGTGGTGGTAAACAAAGATCATTTCAAACAAAAACTGTAATTTTGTTATCTTTGATTCAATGGAATTTCTTTACTTAAAAAGGAAGCACAGAGGCTTTGACTCTGCAGAGTTGCCTGGGACCTGAGCCGGGCCCTCTCCCCCTCCAGTCCCCGGCCCTCCTGCCTCCGGGGAGCGCTCCCCTGGGAGGTCTCGGTTGGGTGAGAAAAGGCAGGGCTGTGGAGGCGCCTCTGAACTCTCCACGGAAGGACGGCAGTTGTAAGAAGCAGATCAAGGGCATCAAGCGCACAGACCCCAGGTCTGCTGCAGGAAGCCTAGGAAGGAAGCACCGCGCCTCCCGGACTTGGCCATCAGGTTGGGACTAGCAGGCTGAGGAACCCACTGCTCCCCCGGGCTCTGTCCCACCCACAGAGCAGGAGGGAGGAGCTTGTGCGCCTCCAGTCTCCCCAGCCCTGCCCCCCCCAGCAGGACACAGGGGCCCCCTCTCCACCCGGGCGCCCGTCTGGGCCTGCTCCTAGCCCTCCTCACCTCTGCCCATCCCCGCTGCCCCCTCCCCTCTGGGCTCCCGCAGCCCTGGCCCATCCCAGCTGACCGCTGCTCTGCCCGCCCCCGCGTGAGAGCCCGCGTGGTCCCTCTCGGGTCCGACCTCCCGCCCGCCGGCACGCTGCACGGTGCACCTGTGTGTCTTTGCCAGGCAGGCGGCTGGCGCCCTGTGAGAGGCTTTCCCCTTGCTGGGGCTCAGCGCCCTTAGGGTTGAGAGAACCTGGGCCCTGGCGCCTGCGGGGCGGGTTAGGAAGCGCGCGCAGCCTCCGCACGCTGCCACCCCAGACTGTCTCCTGGGCCGGGGCACCTTACCTTGCCTCCTGAGTACGCCCTGGTGTGACGTCGATGTTGTGCATTGGGATTTGCGTTACTCTGCTGTGGGGTTTTGGAGCCAAATCATAGCAAAGCCAGAGACCTTTCCAGGCCGTGCTCGCACTTCGAGCCCGGCAGTTGAAGGAGAGCTTTCCTGCTGCCTGCATTACCCCCAGCAGAGCAGAGGGAAGGCCCCCGACTGAGTTAACTAGGACCGCTTTGGCCAAAGTACCCGAAAAAGGCGGAGGGGCCTGGC